CCTACTCATATTAAGGGTAAACACACTTAATTTAAGAAATTTTTACTTATTTCTAGGTCGTTTTTCCAGTGGATGTGGTGTGGGATTTACGTCAGGTCTCTGGTGGGACCGCCAATAACAACAATATTTCTTCTTGTTAGAAAACCTGTTGCATGAGCTGAAAGTTGACATTGAAATCTAAACTTTACCATGTGTATGAATTATAACAGAATAAAGATTAAATTAATCATAAACGTTAATCACAATTAGAATTGGGAAAAGCTTTATTACCAAGTTGTATTTTACAAATACAAAGCAAGTTTTGGGTTATAAGGTGATTCACACAAATGTATGTATAGAAATAGAATTAAGCATAAGTTGCAATAAAATAATATTTTTAACAAAGTGCAATTTTTTTTTTAGAGAAAATGCAGCATTTGATATATTGATACATCAAATTTAATATTTTTGTTTAAAATACATTATACGATTTTTAAAATTGGAATAAGACTGAAGGATACATAGTGCAGCGTTGGTGTATTAATACAGACCTAATAATTTGCTCTGAATACTTTCATTATCTAACATCTATAGTTCATTCAAGGACAGTCTAAGGCCTGCATCATTGTTTAGTGGAAGGTTTTATGTTGTATTGATCTTCTAACACAGCGGAAACAAACAAACTGTGTTGGAAACTGTCATGTTAGCTTATAGGTTTTTTGACCCACAAGCAGAATCAAATGGAAAACCAGAGAGTTGTAGCATTTTATTTATTAAAAACAAACAATAATCTAGAAGCAAAGAACTGCAGGAAGTCAGTAGATCTGATTTGGCTTCCTAGAGTGATGAAGGACAGGTTGCTTGGATCAGTGAGAATTTGATTCAGCACGCTTTGAAGATTATACCCCAGAGGTCCAGGTGAGTGTAAGTGAAACACCAGAGCGTTGGTACTTGGAAGAGACAACGTGCTGGAGAGCTGGCAGGCAGGTGATGAAAACGGAGAACTGATGCACACAGTTAAGACCTTTATTCACCAAGATCGGAGACAAACCGGCTGTGTGGAACAATACAGAGTCCAAGTTAAAGAGATAAGAGGACAGATTCAATAAAAAATATATTCCTGCTTTAGGTCTTTGGCTAGAATACCATCCAGCAAAGAGAGATGATCCTTTGCCTCCTTATATTTATTACCTTGCTTGAGAAATGTTCTCAGGTGTGCAGCAACATTGGTCGGTCGAGCCACCAGCAAAGATCCTTTCTGTGACAGGAAGCTCACTCACTCCAG